GTCTTTAGTGTAGTAGTAATAGAAAAAAATGATAGAAAAAAGTAGGTAAAGTCCAGAGTCAGAGCATCACAAAATAAACATCACCCCCAAAAGCAATGAGATGGTATACTACAGAGGGCAATTTTGTTTAAAACCCTCATCAAGTGGTTATGGAAATGCCAATTCAGCAGCCTCATCAGAAGGATCTAGTAAGCAAGAGGGGAGACTTCAGAGGGGTCTCAGGAATGCCTGGAGAGCTCATTTAAAAAGAACACTCTTGGGGCTGGGATTGTGGCTCAACAGTAGAGCACTCGCCTAGCACGGGCGGGACTTGGGTTTGATCCTCAGCACCACATAAAAATAAAGGCATTGTGTTGTGTCCATCTACACCTAAAAAAATAAATATTAAAAAAAAGGACACTCTTGGGCCATGCCTGTAATCCCAGTGACTCTGGAGGCTGAGCAGGAAGACCTTGAGTTCAAGGCTAGCCTCAGCAATTTAGGGAGATCCTGTCTCAAAATAAAAAAGGCTGGATTGTGGGAGGTGGAGAGAGGCTTGTGTGGGAGAGAGAGGCTTGTGGGAAGCCGGTGGTGGCAGTTGGGGCTCTGAGGGTTTTTCCTGAGAGGCTGTTTTGTTTGGCGTGTGTGGTTCTAAAAATAAAGTTAGTTTCTTTTGACAAGTGGCTCCTGACTGTGCCCAGCCAGACTGCGGCATTTGGTGGCTCGCACGGGGAGCGACTGAGGGTAAGTGATAAGGTAAACTGCTCGCCCCTGAGGGCAGGGCAAGAGGATGGGTAGCCATTTTAAGATTCTTCTTTTGTTATTTTGTTTCACTTTTGTTTTAAGTTGCCTGTCCCTGGAGATGTGTAAGATGGAAGAAAAACCGCTCACATCTGAGGAACAGATGGGGAGAAAGGACAGATGGACATTTCAGGAGGCTATTATAATGATTTTGTGTTGTTCCAATTTTGTTTCACTCTGTTTCAGTTTTGTTAGGCGTTATCTTGTTGGGTTGTATTATAGTAGAAATATGGGATCAGAAATTAGTAAAAAACAAACTGAAAGAGTGTTAAGTAAATTGTTAGAGGAAGGAGGCATCTCAGTAAAATCAAGAACAGTCAGGGCATACGTTGATACAATACAAAAATGTAGCCCATGGCTTTTTAAGGAGGAGTTGTTAAATATATCACAATGGAACCATCATGGTGAAGATTTAAAAAGAATAGAAAAGAAAAGCCCAGGGACTCTGCCAGTTGGCACATTGCCATGGTGGACGTTCGTATCTTGTTTGCTTAGTCCAAAGCCTTCAGTTCAGACAATGGTAGAGGAAGGAGAAGACATATTGATTCAAGTAAAAGAGAAGGTCTCTCAAGCTAGTCAGACAGAGAAAGAAAGTGTAAAACAGAAAAAGCCATCAGGGGGAAAGCTACAACAGGAGACTGCTACTAACACCTTTCTATCACCAGAGGACGTAAGTGTCCAACTAACAAGGCCACCTCCATATGCTGGGAGGCCCCCAACCCCCACAGTTGATAGTTGGGATCCTGAGACAAGATCTCAAATATTAACATGCCCTGTATTTGAAGCAGGAGGGCAGCAAGTTTACCATGTTTTAAATTTCAAAACAGTGAAGCAGCTAAAAGAGGCTGTAACAACCTATGGTCCTCAAGCACCCTTCACTGTAAGCATGGTCGAATCCATTAACAACTTGAACATGACGCCAGCAGATTGGGCTAATATGTGTAAAGCTGTGCTAAATGGAGGACAATACCTGTTATGGAAGGTTGCCAATGAGGAATTTTGCAAGGAGACAGCTAGGCGAAATGCAGCAGCTGGTTATCCTCAGAGAAATCTAGATATGTTGTTAGGAAAGGGACCTTATGAGGATCAGCAGCAACAAATTGCATATGATCCTGGTGTATATGCACAAATTGCTGTAGATGTAATTAAGGCATGGAAGACTTTACAAGGACATGGAGGTTTACAAGGTCAATTATCTAAGGTAATACAAGGAGCTAATGAACCTTATGCTGAATTTGTAGATAGGCTTATTCAAACAGCTACCAGAGTTTTTGGAAATACAGAACAAGCAATGCCATTACTAAAACAACTGGCTTATGAGCAAGCGAATCGTTGGTGCAGAGATATCATTAGACCATGGAAACATGAAGATTTAAACACACATATTAAATTATGTAGAGACATTAATGAACAAGAGCAAGTCGTGGCAGCTGCAGTAAAACAGGCTTTAGATGCCAGAGACATTAATGAACAAGGGCAAATTGTGGCAGCTGCAGTAAAACAGGCTTTAGATGCCAGGCCAAGAACATGCTACAATTGTGAACAAACAGGACATTTTAAAAGGAATTGCCCCATAGGAGGAGGGTTTAACAAAACTAGGTATCAAAGGAGTAGAATACCAGGTATTTGCCCACGATGCCGTAGAGGGAGACATTGGGCTAATGAATGCCGTTCTCAAACCACCATAGAGGGTACTCCATTATCAAAAAACGAACAAGGACCAGGTGTTTATCCATGATATCGTGGAGAAAGGCATCGGGCTCCATTGCCAAAAAATGGACAGGGGGGCCCAATGCTCCGGGGCCCAAAACCACAAATATACGGAGCACTGGAGGAACCCAGCAACCCCATCAGGGTAGTGCCCAGGACACATTGTCCATCAGATCCCTCATCAGACAAACCAGAGGGAGCGGAGGGTTGGACATCTGCGCCTCCGCCAGAGCAGTACTAACTCCAGAAATGGGAGTTCAAATCATTCCCACAGGGGTAAAAGGACCTCTTCCCAAAGGAACAGTAGGCTTATTATTGGGACGCAGCTCTTCTACTCTAAAAGGACTTATGATAATCGGGATCAATTACCCCAGGACTTATGAAGGTGAAATAAAAATTATAGCCAGTTCTCCAAAGGGTATATCAGTAATTTCACCAGGAGATAGAATAGCACAGTTACTAATAATACCCAGCCTACATGATAAATTTTCCAGTCGTACTGTAGAAAGAGGTTCCAAGGGATTAGGCTCCACAGGTGTAGATTGGGCTATGCTTTCTTTAAATTTAGATTCTCGCCCCATGCTAAAACTAAATATTCAAGGACATGAATTTAATGGGCTACTGGATACAGGTGCAGACCTTAGCATCATCTCTCGTCAAGAATGGCCAAAACATTGGCCATTACAACAAGCCACTCAAACGCTTCGAGGCCTAGGAGTGGCGACTAATCCCCATAGAAGTGCAATGGTATTAGATTGGAAGGATCCTGAAGGATGTGAAGGAACTCTACAGCCATATGTATTGGATCATCTTCCCGTAAATTTATGGGGACGAGATGTCCTAGATCAATTAGGTTTGACATTAACAAATAACATCAACCAAAATGCACCCACTATTATGACTAGACAAGGTTTTAGGAAAGGAAAAAGATTAGAAAAACAAGAACAAGGTATAGCAGCACCAATACAAATAGATCAAGGAACAGACAGACATGGGTTGGATTTTCAGAAAGGGCCACTGAGACAATAAAAATTACTTGGAAATCAGAAAGACCAGTATGGGTTCCTCAGTGGCCCCTGACTAAAGAAAAGATACAAGCAGCCCATGACCTGGTCAAACAACAATTAGCGGAAGGACATATACAACCTTCTGTATCTCCCCATAATACTCCCATTTTTGTCATCAAAAAGAAATCTGGTAAATGGAGATTATTGCAAGATTTAAGAGCCATTAATAATGAGATGGTTATTATGGGACCTGCTCAATCAGGGATTCCTCAATTGTCTGCTTTGCCAAAAACCTGGTATGTTTTAGTTATAGATATTAAAGATTGTTTTTTTTCAATTCCAATTCATCCTGAGGATAGTCCACGTTTTGCATTTACTATCCCTGCACTGAATCATGAAGGTCCTGATCAGAGATATGAATGGAAAGTACTCCCTCAAGGGATGGCTAACAGCCCAATGAGCATCACCGCAGAGGAGCCAATCAGCTAGATGTTGCTGGGGCCGCTGTGAGCCAGTCATCAGCCGGCAGCTGGAAGTTTGCTGGCAGCTGGAAGTTTGCTGGGGCCCCTTCGGCTGTGGCTCTCAACAAAAAAAGGCTAGGGATATAGCTCAGTGGCAAAGTGCCCCAGTACTAAAAAAGGTAAAAAGGACACTCTCACAGATAATGATTCCTAAATTTGAGGGGAGGTCTTGAATTTTCTTCTTTTAAACAAGCACCCTCAACTGATTGAAAAATGAAATATATTGTCAAAAAATTCACTTTGATTTTAATTTTGTCACAGTTGTTTATACATGTTGTTTTTTTCTGATAGTCAGCCTCCAATTTGTGTTTTTAAAGTCCAGATAGATTTAATTACTTTGAGTTTAAAGTCAAAATAATTATATCAGCTCCTCCATTCTCTGTATTTCAATTAGAAAATAATACATTCTTACAGTTCAATTTTTTATTTCATTATTAATGCTTCTTTTTTAAGGTGCTGGAGATTACCACTTGGCTACATTCTTAGCCCTTTTTATTTTTTATTTTGAGATGGTCTTATTGAGTTACCAAGGCTGGCCTCAAACTTTCCATCCTCTTGCCCCCAGCCTCCTGAGTAGCTGGGATTACAGGCATGTGCTGTCTACCATGTCTGACTATTAATGCTTAATTTTAGGGTTAGATTTGATTTAGAGATGGAGAAACTATAATTTGTGTGTGTAGCTGCTCTGTAGCTACTGTTGTGATTTGGAAAATAAATCAGGGTCAGATTATGTCTGATCACTTTCCACATCACACAATGAATAGTAATTCAGAAGAAGCATAAAACGAATTCTGCTGAGCAGCCCCTTAGCTATCATGTTGTTAACTGATACTTTCTCTCCTTCCCTCCTGTTTCTTATTAGTATCTGTGATTGAAGGAGATCAGCTAAGAGCAGCTCCTCACAACATCAAGGAAGAGACTTTTCATACTCTTATCTTGGAATCAGAAGTTGAATTTGTGAACATAATATGATTTAGAAATCATGGGTTGTAGCAGTTCTTCAACAGGAAACAAGAAATCTGAGAAAAGTGAGTGCTGGAAATGTTGCCTGTGTTTATGAATGAAAAGAAAAATTCTGTCTCTTTTTGAAATACTTTTCCCCCTTTGAAATGTTATTTGTGAACAGAAGTGTTAACTAGGATTTCTGGATTGTTTTTTCTTTTAAATACTTTATTGAGGTGAAACTCATAACATACAACCAACTGTTGTAAAGTGAGCAACTCAATGGCATTTAGTACATTTACAATATTGCACCACCTGTCTAGTTCCAAAACATTTCTTTTACTCCAGAGTAAAACCCCTGTCCTTTAAGCAGTTTTTCCTGATTTCCCTCTCCCCTCAATCCCTGGCAATCTCTGTGAATTTTCTTCTGGACATTTCATGTAAATGAAATCACACACTATGTGACCATTTGTGCCTGGCTTTGTCCATGTTGTATCATGAATCAGTACTTCATTCCTTTTTATTAATGAATAACGTTCCATTGTATGAATATGCCATATCATGTTAATCCATTATTAATTGACAGACATTAGGTTGGTACTATTTTTTTTATTATTATGAACAATGTTGTTATGAAAATTCATATATAAGTTATCATGTGGATGTATGTTTTCAGTTTTCTTAGGCATATGCCAATAAGTAAAATTGCTGGAACATATGGTAGCTATGTGCTTAACATTTTGGGAAACTTCGAAACTGTTTTCCCAAGTGGTTGTATCAGTCTACATTCCTATCAGCAGTGAATGAGGGTAGTAATTTCTCCACACCCTTCATAGCACTTATTTTTGTCCTTTATATTAGAGTCATCCTAGTGGGAATGAAGAATCTCATTGTGGAATTTGTTTGTACTTCCCTAATGACTTATGATGTTGAACATCTTTTCATATGTTTTTGACCATTTGTTTATCTTCCTTGGATAAGTGTCTATTCGGATCGTTTATCCATTTGTTATTGTTATTTATTTTATATTTTGTTGTAAGAGTTCTTCATATATTCTAGATACAAATTCCTTAACAAATATATGACTTGCCAACATTTTCTTCCATTTAGTGAGTTGTCTTTGCACTTTCTTAGTGGTGTCCTTTGAAGGAAAAAAATTTTTAATTTTGAGAAAGTCCATTTTTGTGTGTACGTGTGCTTTTGGTACCATACCCAAGAGTCCACTGATAAATCCAAGAAGTTTTATGCTTGTATTTTCTCTTAAGAGTTTTGTAGGAAGGCTGGGTTGGGGTTGTAGCTCAGTGGTAGAGCACTTGCCCAGCACATGTGAGGCACTGGGTTCGATCCTCAGCATCACATAAAAATAAATAAGCAAAATAAAGTTACTGTGTCCATCTACAACTAAAAAAAAAGTTTTGTAGGATTTTGTTCCATTTGGAGTTAATTTTCACATGTGTGAGGGAGTGATATAAATTCATTCTTTTCATGTGGATATCCAGTTGTTCCAGCACAGTTATTGAAAGGAGGACTATTCTTTCCCCATCAAATGGTCTTGGTACTCTTGTCAAAAATCAATTGACTGTAAATGTGACAGTTTATTTCTTGACTCTCAATTTTATTCCATTGATCTGTATGTATTCCTTATGCTAGTATTGTAGAGTCTAGATTGTGTAGCTTTGTAGAAAGTTTGTGTCTCTGTGACCAAAATACCCAACAAGAACAACTTAGCGGAGAAAAAGTTCATTTTGGTTCACGGTTTCAGGGATCTCAGTCCATAGACTGACTCCATTGCTTTGGGCCCAATGTGAGGCAAAACATCATGGGGGTAAGGGTGTGACAGAAGGGAACTGCTCCCCTCATGGCAGCAAGGAAGCAGAGAAAGAGGGAGAGGGAAGGGGATGAAGGGAAAATGCACCCTTCCAGGGCACACCCCCACTGACTTACCTCCCCTAGCCACCCCTCACCTGCCTACAGTTACCACCCAGGCAGTCCATTCACCTAGGTTGCAGCTTTCATAATCTAATCATTTTACCTCTGAATATTCCTGCATTAACCTATGAGCTTTTGGAGGACACCTCATATCCAAACCATAACAGAGTCCTTCAACTTTGTTTATCAAGATTGATTTGGGGGCTGGGGATGTGGCTCAAGCGGTAGTGCACTCGCCTGGCATGCGTGCGGCCTGGGTTCGATCCTCAGCACCACATACAAAGATGTTGTGTCCGCCGAAAACTGAAAAATAAATATTAAAAATTAAAAAAAAAAGATTGATTTGGCAGTTCTGGTTCCTTGTATTTCCATATGAATTTTGGAATTGATTTGTCAATTTCTCAAAGAAGTCAGCTGGAATGTTGATTGAGATTGTGTTGAATCTGCAGATCAATTTGGAGTGTATTACCATTTTAATAAATAAGCCATCTGATCCATGAACACAGTATGTTTTTAATTTCTTTTACTGACATTTTGTAGTGTACTATTTTACTTTTGTGAAATTTAATCTAAGTATTTTATTCTTTTTGGTGCTATTGTAAATAATTGTTTTCTTAATTTCATTTTGGATTGTTCATTGCATTGTTCATTTCTTTCTTTCTCTCTTTCTTTCTTTCTCGTTTTCTCTCTCTCTCTCTTCTTGATACCAGGGATTGAACTCTGGGGCACTTGACCATTGAGCCCCATCCTCAGCCCCATTTTGTATTTTATTTAGAGACAGGCTCTCACTGAGTTGCTTAGTGCCTTGCCATTGCTGAGGCTGGCTTTGAACTTGCAATTCTCCTGTCTAGCCTCCCCAGTTGCTGGATTTACAGGTGTGCACCACTGCACCGGCTTCATTTATTTTCTCTAAAAATTTTTTAGTGGATTTATTAGTAATTTTTATTTATAAATCATGTCAGCTGCAAATAGAGATAGTTTTACTTCTTCCTTTCCAATGCCTTGTGTGTGTGTGGTGCTGGGGATGGAATCCAGGGCCTAGTACATGCTAGGCAATTGCTCTACCGCTGAGCTACATTTTAGCCCTTCTAGTGGCTTTCATTTCATTTCATTACCTAATCTTGCTAGATCTTCCAATGTTAAATAGAAATGCCAGAGTAGACATCCTTGCCTTGTTAGGGGAAGGTATTTAATATTTCACCATTAAGTATGATATTAGTTGTGGTTTTCTCATAGTTGCTTTTTTATCAGGTTGAGGAAGTTCAGTCCTATTCCTAGTTTGTTGGCTTTTTAAAAATTACAAAGTATAATTTTGTCAAAGTCTTTTTCTGCATATTGTAAGATGATCATGTGGGTTTTTTGTCCTTTTTAGCATATTATGTTACTTGAAGTTCAGATATTAAACTAACTTTGCATTCCTTGTATAAGTCCCACTTGGCCATAGTGTATTAATGCTGTTTATGTGTTGCTGAATTCAGTTTGCTAGTATTTTATAGGGGAATTTCATATCTGTGTTCATAAAAGTTACCAGCTTAGTTTTCTTTTGTCATGATGTCTTTGTCTGGTTTTGATATCAGGATAATATTATCCACATAGAATGATTTGGAAAGTGTTCCCTTGTTTTTCGTAAAAGTTTGTGAAGAGCAGATATTACATTTTCTTTAAATGTTTAGTAAGAGTTCATCAGTGAAGCCATCTGAGCATGGGGTTTTCTTTGTGGGTAGTTTTTTTGATCATTTTATTTCTTTACTTGTTTAGGTCTATTCAGATGTTCTCTTGACTAATTTTTGGCAGTTCATATCTTTCTAGGAATTTGCCCATGTTATCTATTTTTTTTTTAACATGGACCTGTCCAGAGTATTTTGTTATAATCCTTTTTATTTTTCTATTATCTCCTATTGAATGTGTCAAATAAGATTTATTATGATTTCACATTTCACATAATAAACCTGCTGAAAGCTGACACTATTGTGTATTTGTATTATGTATTTACTTACATTTGCCCAGAGGTAAACGTTTTATTCATGAAATATGTTTCTCATTCAGAAATTTTAGAAAATAGAGAAAAGTGGTTAGAAATAACTGATACTCATCATTTAACTATCCAGAGTTAATAACTTCCAGGGTTCCCCACCCCCTGCTTTGGTGTAATGTAGGATTTTTGATAGGAAAGAAAAAGTTTTATGTAGCAATAAGACAGCATCTCGAAAGATGAACAGCTAGCACTTGGGTTCTTCTTAAGTAGCACAGCTGAAAGTTTATGTAGCATCTTTTATGGGATTAACTCAGTCTCAAGCAAGTGGATATCAGGATAGTTCATTAGTCTTGAGAAATGTCCATTTCTGGATCATAATGATGTAGATACTTTTTCTTTTTCGCAGTGCTGGGGAATGAACCTAGGAAGGTGCTCTACTACTGAGTTATAGCCACAGCCCTAATGAAGATTTTGTGTGTTTTTTTCTTTTTATAGAAAATTTAAAATTTTTAATAAATATGCTTTGTTCAAGAATGTGAAAAAATTACAACAAACACAAACATAACATTTCCTGGTATGGTACCTCCCATCACTTGGCAGTTATGGTAAAACTAAATGATTTATTCATGATCTTGAAGAATCCAACCTCATGATTATCATTTGCTTTTAGAAACACCACATTATTTTGGAAGGCAGCTATGCTCACCACTATACCACCAACGTGCTCTGGCACACCACATTATTTTGGAGAAACTGCTGTGAATGAGACAGGAGGCCTCTTAACTTCTTTATAGTCATATGAAATAATTCTTAGAGTGCCCATATAGTATTAGAAAGCTCTTCATTTATCATTACATGTGTGATCTCGCTTCAAGCCACAATGACTGCTTATATTCAACACTTATACAATGAATTGGCCTTGGTGGAACATATGTTGGTTTAAATCCTGTGTTTATTTAACCTAATTTGAATAAACTGAACTTACAGTAACAAATGACATAAATTCAAACAAATTTCTAAGTGGTAGTAGGTTTTATGAGTTTTTTTTTCTTCAAAGTATTACTTAAATACATCATGCATACTTTGGAGCAAAAGTAGAATCAACATCTGTAAATACTCAGAAGAATTTATAACATCCAAATTTTGGCTGTAACACAAATGCTGTCTCTAATAAAGATTTTT